GGGGAGGAGGAAACTCCTAAAGGGGTGGTTATGCTTTTCGGAGAATATTAATCAAAACCTTTTCTAATTTAGGAGACGAGTCAGCTTTTAATCCCTCCCCTAAAACTGATGGCATCCTCTAAAATTTACACTCGTGCAATTTACAACCCTTAAAAGGAGAGACCTTCGACCATCTTTTCCCCTTTTATATAGCATTTGCTGCCTGCCTCCCTGCTCCAATTATGAACCACCCATGTAATTATCAGTACCAAAACACAATAATTGTTAACCCCCAAAAACGATTAAATGTAGTTCCACTATTATTCTTTGTTAGGAAAGACACACACCTTAATGTCAAGTGATGGCATCTGTGTTCAAGTGGTGGAAAAGCTGTTCAAGAGGATCCATTTGGACAAGTATCATGAATACAAGGTAACTAATTTGTAAAGAAAAATAATTGGCTGATAACTTTAAGTGAAATATGACACTGCTCAGAATGCTTGCATTCTCACTTCTGATAAAATGCAATACCCCTTCCCCTATAAAATTTTATGTTAAGTGTATCTGTGATTTGTTTTTGCTCGAGCAGTGCTTGTTAACTGGTAAACTCTTCCCACCTCACCCTGTGCCATTAAAAAAAAAACATGGAAGTCTGTTCTCTAATGTGTAAAAAATATTGTACCTACAAATATCCTTGGGATATTATTCCAATATCCCCCACTCCCATTTTCCATTGATTCTTTACCATTAAGGTACGGTCCCTGGGAGCATGAACTATCAATCAAAGTCAAGAAATGTACGTTATCTCCTGCACTGTAAGTTTCAAATAAATTTGTAACTTACTGTGGTTTTAATTTTGTTTTCTAGGTCTACATGTCTTATCTTCAGATCTACCAGGAAAAGATATTTGATTTGCTTAATGCTGCTAATTCGAAGGTCGAGCTTGTGCTGAGAGAGGATCCCAAGAAAGGTACGTTTTTGACATAAATTTAAGTATCTAAAACTATAAATGTCCCGTGGAACCCCATCAATCTGGTCACCAATGAGCCACAAAAATCTGGCTGTAATATGCAATAACAGGGTGGCTGTATTAAAGAGGTTCTTGAATTAAATAAGAAAATGGCTGACAGAGCTTTTGTTTGGGCCAGAATAAAGTGGCTGTAAAATTACGAGATGGCTGTATTATTTACGGGGAGGCCATAAGATGGGGTTCCACTGTATATAATGGGAGAACATAATGGCGTGTAATTAGCAAATTTATGCTTATACCGAGCACTTCTTAAAGTGCAGTTGGGAACCCTTTACTATCAATTTATTACATCTAAAAATTAATCTATGTAACATGTACCCTTATATAGCCAGCACAATTAATTTAATCCTGATAAGTCCTGAACTTCAGGTGGGGGTGTATGGCGCACTTCCCAAAAGCCTAAACCCTATTTATGAACAAAATCTGCCCAATTCCCTACCCTGCATGTATTTGTAACCTGATCAAAAATTTGATACCCCATTTATGATGACTCTGAAATCAATACCCTGTATCAGACCTGCCTTATCATTAGTTCCTTATAGTTCAGACCGATGTTAAAGGCATTGTGAAGGGCTTTTGTTGAAGGTCTAATTGATAAATCATAATGATGACAAAGTAGCTCCTTCAAAAAAATATACCCAGTCATACCGTATGTATGACCAAAATGATCAAAATCGATACCCTATTTATGACCAACATGGCTGAAAAACCATACCCTTTGGGGCCACACATACCCTTGTAGCCCATATAAGGGAGTACCCCGCGACTTAGAGATGGGCAGGCAGTGCTCCTGAGAGATGAATAAACATATATGCACCCCTCACCCCCCCCCCCACCCCCCCCCTTTTTCCCTTAAAGTCACGCACGTGTGATTACCTAATTTTGTTACATGTACATTAGATGAATGAATACGTACGTCTAGGTTACATCAAATTCATATTTCATAGGAAACATCTCTTTTTTGTCAAGGTGTTTATGTAGAAAATCTGTCCGAATTTGTTGTGGGGGACACTGCCGAGGTTCTTTCCTTGCTAAAACTGGGCAAGAAGAAGCTTATTTTTGCTGAAACACGAATGAATCGAGTTTCTAGCAGGTAGGTTTGTGCGCGATATGAAAGCTTACATAGAGCACTGAAAATTAAACCATTTATGAAGCTAATAGGCTTACTAGTCATGACTAGTTCTCATGCTAAACTGACAATGACGATGCCCCAAGTCTCATTGTCTCAACAATTCGAAACAATCTGGGAAGTACTCGCGTCTTCAGTTCGGTTCATAGATATCTTAAGCTTGCATAAAACTCAAGTTCCTTACCGGACCAAGTGGAAAATCCTAAATATTTTGCTCCCTGCTCAGTAATCCCCCATTGAACTAGAAACTAGCTAGCCATCGAGGATGCTTTCCGCGCTCAGCCCCGCCCGCCCTACGATGTGCGTTCGCTGTCTACGAGGCATGCGCACGTCAACACTTCCGAAATCTTCGTGCCTGCTACGATTTTATCCTGTTCAGATAAAAGACTGGCGAAAACGCAGAGACAAAATCTCGGACCCAATCTTCTAAATAATGACAACAGACCTGTAAATCAGCAATCTGAGTTGATCCTGACTGAGCCGTCCAAGTTTGTACCTCTTCCCAGCGAAATGAGCCCAACAATCTATACCCCTACCTTGCAGTGACATACATTAATAACTCTTTTATTATTATTATTATTATTTTGCTGTAGATCTCACTCTGTGTGCCAGATAACTGTGGAAAGAACTCGTTGTAAAGGTAGTCTCAAGTCTGCAGCAGAGGGTAGGAAAGCAGTGAATAATTAATTAACTCCTACTGTTTTTAGGACACATATTCATAAACACCCCTCCAACCGTGCCAGCGCATCATGCCCACCGTCCCGCTTTCCCGCTGTCTGCTATCTCGCATAAGTGAGAATCATATCTCGCTTTGGCAGGGCTTTGGCATAGTACGAAGAAACTAGAGTAGCGCTATTTGCTGCCTTTTTTAAATCCGCTCTTTACGTATGCCGCCTACAAAGCATGATAGATGTCTCTCACATCCCGCCTTTAATTTCACATCCCCTCAAACCAGAGCGCCTATCACTAGGAGCGTGCAACTCCCATGCATATCACGGCATTTTTACAGACCGGTCTACTTTTCCTGCGAAATAGGTCAGTGTCTGCATGAGCGCGCATCGGTAAGGGAAAAAATGGCTGTTTTTCTTTTTAATCTTCCGGTGAAATGAATTTAAGTCCGTGCTTGTGATCGTTGATGGATCAACAGGCGAAAACAACTCAAAATGTGGTTAGACCACAAGCTTCTTAAAAGGTTGCTAGCAGTCATTTGCTTTACTAACAGGTTCTTCAAGTGAGAGCAATCTTCTGTCACTGTCTTCTACCGTGACTCCTCCGTCACGCAAGACAGTTCGATCCACAGGCAGCCTGGACCGTCTTCGCGACGAAACCAAAACACAGAGTTCACCTTTGAAAGCTTCGACCCGTAGACCGCAAAGCTTCATCCCGCGCAGGACCTCTACCCCAGCTTCCAAACGCAGCTTGTCACGCAACAACGAGCACAGACACAGCTTTCATTTGTCGTCTCTTCCGGAAATGAGTGTCACGCCTGCTCGGCCCAACCGCTGGTCTATTGGAGATATGACTCGCGGTTTCATGGAGTCGAATGAGTCATTACCTAACTCACCGAGTGCCTCGGAAGGGAGTGATCTGCAATTTTGTGTGGATTCCGAAATGGAAAGCAGCACAGAAAGTGAAGGATGGGTAAGACTGCATTGGCCTTCTTAATAAAAACACAGAGTAAGAAAGATGTTTGAACGTAAAAGATATCCATTTTGTCGGAAATAATAAATCAGGATATTGCTGAACAGCTATTCAATACCGAACATCTCTTCCTGAAGCGTTCACATACTACTAACGTTTTTTCTTGTCTGGGTGTAGGCTCAACTGAATCTTCTCTCTTACAGAGTGCTTCCGGTAGCCCTGAAGTTCCCGAATATGGCTTTGGAGATGTAAATATTAACATTTTTTCATCTAACGAACCTAAAATATATCGTTACAGCATACTTCGTCGACAGAAGCAATGCAACGTCATTTATTTGGACGTAATTCATGCCTCCGCTTGTGTAAAAAGTTTC